TGTCTTTCAGTGGTTACTTACCTTTTTTTTCCTGTTTGTATTTCCTCATAAATATATCTCTATTATTGCTGTCGCCCCTTTCTTTTGAAGCTAAAGAAATCTGATTTTAATGAATGTTGGGAATAGTGCTATCATATAGTAACATGCTTGAAGAAGTCAATGGTTTTCATTGTAAGCAAGTATTCTTTTTTTTTTTCATTTTCTATTTATATAAACATTTTAATTCATAAGCAGTATTTTCATTTAAGTCTTTATTTCCCTTTTTTCCCATCTCCTCCTCTGCTTCCATTTTGTGTCAGGTGCTAAGCGGCTCAACATCCACCCTTGGTACAGCTGAAAATGGGGTCAAACCGTTGATCCTTTCTAACTCGGACACGGAGCCCAGCGGGGCTGTGACCGGCTCCAGCACCTCGCACTCTCCTCACATGTTCACACCTAGCACTCAGCGCTCACAGTTCTCGGGCAACCCTTTGCTCTACTCCTCACCTGTGTCTGAGAAAAACACAGGTAAAAGATTTTTGTCTCGTATTTTACTACGTAGGGGAGGGGGGTTGTTTTTGTTTTAATGAGGCTGCCATCTTTTTCAGTTTTTCGTTTTGTAATAGAAGCTGATGATTTATTTCAGTGTTTCAGTAATGTTCTTGGCTACCACCCTGTGTGACCACTCCTTGTGGTGCCTGTGTGGAACCAGACATGTGTCACCTTCTTTACCATTGTCTAACAATGTTTTGCAAGTCAGGGAGTCACTGATTTTATCTAGTGGTTCAATAAGGATAATCTCTCTCTCCTGCTGCTAATGTGTTTTTAGTCAAGTACCTGAACAGTTTTCAAAGTACATGCCTGTCAAGTACTATGATAAGATCAAAGCCCTCTGATTTAAAAAAATATTTTTTTGCGCGTCAAAGAACCTGATCGGATTTGCATAAAATCTGATTCTTTTCTTGAATTCTGTTTCCAGTGGTCGTATGCAACTTATCGTGAATGACATGAAAATACACGAGCTTATTTGCATTTTTCACAATTTTTGCATGACTTATTGTAAATGACGTGAAAATTGCTCTTTTTATTAATGTGTATTTGCATTATACGTTTATTTGCTGTGGTTGGTTTGTAAAAATAATGTTAATCCACTGAGGTTCTGGAGAATCCGATTTTTCCCCCAAACTTTGATTTTTGTGTAGGATTCTTTGGAAAACTTCAAAACTCCTATTTTTGGTCATGGAGTCGTTGGCAGGTCTGAAACATGTATGTGATTGAAGTTAAATGTGTTTTTAATTTTATGTGTACAGCGAGAGAGACTGGACGTTTTGTTGGAACATCAGGAAGACCAGAAGGCAACCCGCCTTGGGATTCTCATCGTTCAACTGGCTCCATACAGACAGCAGGAGTTCATCCTGTGCCAGGCATGCTCGACTTGAATACTGGGAGCTCCACACTCTTAATGGGTAATCTTGAGGGACTGACCTTGAAAACATCAGAGGTTGCCCAGCAGGCAGCGTCAGGAACAACGCAGAGGCGAGATCAGTGGCTGCATCAACTGTCTGAGCAGAGCAGCAGTCCAAGCCAAACCCAGAGGGAGAATGTAGTACTGCTTAAACCTGAAGACTTCATGAAAAAGTCTGGTGGGGATTCCATGGGGCAAAAAACAGATGCTCTGGTGGGGCAGCCAACCGCTGGTACAATTGAAGGCCGGAGACCGAATTTGAAGCGTACACCAAGGAACTTTGCTGTTGGAGAAAGTGATCAAAGCTGGGGTCTTCCTCCCGTTGGTGACTTCAGAGCCATCTCAGAGCAGCTGGGAGCCCATCGAGACTCTCTGAAGGATGGGCAAGGGGCTATCAGGCACACTCCGCGAGAAATGTCGAGCCCTCGACGAACAGCCCCACAGGGCATTCTGCACAAAGTCTCTGACAGTGATGGAGACGTCTCTCCACTCAATACGGCTCGTAGCCGCGGCACGGTCACCTTTGCTAGCCCCAAGTCTCCTTCACCTGAGGAAGAAATCATCAATATTCGGGATCGGTTGCGGCACTTCAGCCAGCAAAAAGAAAAACTGCGGTATGTAAATAAATATATGAATTTTATTCTTGTTGTTTTATGTCTTGCTGGGAACAACATCAGCTGTGTGTAACAACTTTGATATCAAAGTTATAGATATGTTTATAAAACATACTCTAACGATGTGTGCTTATTATTTTAAGATGTCTTTTGCTATTTTCTGTGTGCTCTTTCTTCTTTCATTTGTCATTTCTTATCATCGCTTGTAATTATGTTCCCTGGGTATACCTTGACTGAGCTTAAATAGTCATATGGATTGACCAAAATATGACCATATCGACTAGTTACATCGAGTGTAAGACTCTGCCATACACCATATCGAAATGTGATGTATGTCAGTCTTACACTGAACAGTCAATATATTTTTTGCTGAAAGAATAGGAAGCATATATATTCATAATGGCTTTGTGATATGTGGTTAGATGCCTTTGTAATTCTGCTGAAGTTGTAAAGTAGTGATGACAATTCTGGCCTGATTTGCTGAATTCATATTAGTTTTACTGTACCACACTAGATTCAGCTTCTGTTGGAAAAGCTTGTTTTCATTAAAAATTATAATCTCAGCTTGAAATTTCCAGCACCAGCTGGAAGTCTCCATAAATAATTCAAAATTATGAGAAAATTTTGCGCTCATAGTTTTAGGGATTGTTCTTTTTAGCCTAGTAAGAACTCATAACAATGTTTTCTTTAGGACACCACAAACACATGTTTTAAGATTACTTCCAACACAGAAATTTTAGAAGCATGGTAAAAGCTTTTTAACTCTCATATTTGTTGTGCTGGTGGTTGGCGGGTGCTGTTGCGAGTGCCGTAAAACCTCTACTAAACTAAAACAAACAAAAACTAATATTTGTTGTTGTGAGGAGGTAGTGCTATAATGACGATAGAGAAGAGAGATGAAATTCTGGAAGCTTCTATTAGTCTAGCTTCTACAAAGTCAAAGAGGTCAAAGTTTGTTTATGCTAAATTCTGTTTGATATGTGTTCACTTGCCAGTCTAATTCTCTATCTGGACTCCATGCATACTCAACTTGTTTGTCCAATAGGAGTCTACTAGGAATCTACAGCTCTTTAGAAACCTTGTAAATGTAAGCACTGAGAATCTTGTAAATGGTTTGGGCTCATTTTGGGGGTCATAGAGTGCTAGTTCATACTGAAGTTTATTTGACTGAAGAAATATTTTCTTAATTGGGATGATATTTGATATGCCTTCTGCAGGAATATTATGGTTGTTTTAAAGAAAATGGATTTAACTTTTTAAAATTCATATTTTAATTTCAGTCGTAGATGTATGCCTTTTTCTTTTCAAAAAGTTTTATGGATGATATAATTTTATTTTTTTTGGCGGGGGGGGGGGGGGGGGGCGGTCTTTATTTTGGCAAAGGGTGCAGGAAAGTTTGGATTCAAATAAAGCATTGATTTTTTTTAAAAATGACCATAGTGCTATTTTAATACATCTTCAGATCTCTTCGACGCCAGTACAGGCAGCTCTCCGATTGGTTGGCGGAGCAGTCGGCAGAAGAGATGGGTGGCGATGAAGATAGTCAAAGTGCCTCACAGGAGTTGGACATGGTGAGATAGGAATTTAGTGTAATGGTCATAAAGTCAATTTTTTCCCATGTGTCTTTTCTGCTCTGTAACTGTTCACGCTTAAATTGTGAGACAATGAGATCACCTCTGTATCTCTCTTACTGTGTTGGGTTATAGGGATGCTTATCTGTAAAATCAGAGAAGGGGAATGCTATTGTCACATTGTACTTGTAAAGATCTACTTTGGGTGGAACCAGTGATGCTTAAAAACTAAGCTGACAGACAAACACAGAAATACTGCAGAGAGTCCAGGTTTAAAGTCAAAATGGATGGGCAATTTTCAGATGGAAATGAAGTAAACTAGTTCTAAAGAATCTATGAGGTCTTGCCTCATTTCATGCATCCTGATGTCAGACCATTTTCTACAGGCATTGGAAAAAGTATGATTTAGCAAATGTGCTCCCCCTCCCCCTCCCCCCCCCTTGTCTCATGGTTTTAATATCATTCATAATCTTAATTATATCTTTAATTCTGTGCTGCTCCAATTGTTTAAAATCTTTATGAGTTATGTTGACAATGACTGGTTTCTTCATGAATTGTTCTTGGACAGTTACGCTCAGAGGTGGCAGACCTTCAAGGTGTTGTGGACAGCCAGCGACCTATCTGCGAAAGACTGGTGCTCAGAGCACAGACGCTGGCCCAGGAACTGCACATGACTCCGGCCTAATGTCTTTTGCCAACGTCTCCCCGGTTATTTTGTTGAATCAGTGGAGTGTTTCTGTTGATGGCAACATGTTTTTTTTTGCCACCTACCATTCTGAGATATGAGTTTGCTGAAGAAACGAACTCGAACCCTTCAAATTGACTCCTTCCAGTTTAATATCATCACAGATTTAGGCACAGGGGAATCTGCTTTAACCTAAATCTGCAGGACTGCCGAATTTTCTTTGGTTTAGCTTAGTTTATGGTTTAGAAAGGTTGTTCAAATTCAAATAGAAGAAAAAAATGTAGGATTTTGTTTTATTTTGGTTTACCACTGTTTTTAGATTAACCGCGTTCAGTTTAGGCGGACTCCTTTGCAGTTCCTTTTTTTTTCAGCTGTTTAGTGATAGCTTTCTTCTTTGGTGTGGGTTTTTTTTTACCTTGTTATTTTTAGGATATCTTCAGTTTCAGTTTTCAGGGATTTGAGTGTAATTTTAAGTTTGCATTCTTTATCTCTATGTTCTATCATCCGGAAACTCAGATAACATGCTCATCTCTGGGCATGATGTTTTCAAGCCCAAGTATTTGATCAGAAAATAGGATGGTGTCTCAATTGTTGTTTTGTTGCACACCAGTTTGATTCTATGGGTCACTCTGCTTGCGTGGCTGAGTGGCTGGGTATGTTGCTAGCTGATAGTTTGTCGAAGTGCCTTATCCAAAGATTGTGAACTCGGGAGTTCTCAGCTTTCAATACATTCCTCTATTTGAGAGCAGATCAGAATTTATCTTTTCTTCTGTAATGATTTATATTAATTATATTTTTTGTTGAATGGTAGTAACTGTTTATGGTCAGAAATTTCATTTATTCAGCAGTCCTAACTTTGTATCTGAAAGGTATTTGTATCTTTACAAATCTATGTGACATGAATGCAAATGAATTTTGAATAAAAAAGCTAGATGGTATGCACTCTCAACATTGTTCCTTGCTCCTGATAGCAAGTTTGATTAACTTTTTCCCAGAAGGTAAGAAATGATTATGGTATGTATGTAATAATGCTAATTTATACTTGATGTGTGTGTTGGTAGAAGCGAGCATATATTTGCGACAAGAGTCTTCACTGTAAGCCTACCATATGTTAAAAATAGTCACTTGCCAAGAAATCTGCCGGTCCATACACATGTAGTGTACTGGCATTGATATACTTATATTATGGTACATATTATATTTTTGTACCCACACACTTACACACAAACACACACACACACACACACACACACACACACACACACACACACACACACACACACCTGTGGTGAATTGGTTAGGCTCTTTGCCTTGCATTCGAAAATGTGAGTTGGATTTCAGTGTGGGAAAGATTATTTTGATAAAGTACAGTTGAACCTGCTCTAACAGCCAGCTGTATAAGACAATCACCTGTACAAACAGCCACTTCCTTCCCTCCCCCCCCCCCCTGTGTTTTTTACATTATAATAATTACACTGTGTAGAAGACGTCCACCTGTCTAAGGAAACCACTTTTCTCCATAACAATGGGTGGCCATCCTAGACAATTTCGACTGTATTTAATTTCTCTCTTTTTGTTAGGATCATGAATCCCTCTCAGCTGAGTTTGCCTTGAAAAGCAGAGTCAGAGCAGCCTCTCTCTTCCTTATTGGTCTATGTTGTGTGAGGGAATAGAATAGTCAATGACATGCACTCATGAACACACAAACAGACACACATACACGCACACGTACACAAACGCACACACACACACACACACACACACACACACACACACACACACACACACACACACACACACACACACACACACACACACACACACACACACACACACACACACACACCTGTGACTTCCAGCTGTCTGAAGGCTTAAATTTGTGTTACACCTCTTGAAGCTAAATAACCTGCCTTTGTTTCTGATGTACGAATAAATGAATAGCTGAAAACTGAATACCTGTCTTCAACTGATTACATGCTGATAGTTGGTCATGGATATTCCCATGCCCCCCCAAGGCGTACGTCTCCCCCGCCCTCGTCCACTGACCATTTCAAATTATATGAATCTGCAGAAATTTTTTTAAAAAATGAATACATAGCAGTGTTCACAAGATTGATTGGAGAAAGTCAGACCTTTGTTACCTTAACCTTTGTCAATGTTTTTTTTTTAGTTTTGTGGTAAATGAATGGGTGCTGATTTGAAATCCCAATTCTTATGTACGTTTGTCACTAAACTAGAACCATCGAAGTATGAAATAACATAATATTTCTTGGAATGTTAGGAAGACAATTTGAATGCTGAATGGTCATTCAGACAGAATTGTCAGCTGATAGCAGCTTGTGACATACTGGTAGAGGCACCAAGAGTTTACTGTGATATTTTATTTAATGCTGGTTTACCTCTCCTGATGCCCAGTTGATGAATAGCCTATTGAGTTTTGTTAACTTGTGGAAAATATTTTTCCACTGTACAGTTTGTAAAATGTATTCTTTATTTCCTTCATAAACTCGTAAACCCAGGATTTAGAACATTTTATTTATGGTAGTTAGTTTTTAGTTTTAGTTACAGTTTTCGGCACTTGCAACACAAATAAGTCATATAAGTGCCTTATGGTAGTTAAGTATTGCATATGGCACCTTTTGACTCTGTCCCTAGGCATTGTGAAAGTAGCAAGTTTCAGTTTCAATGTTAAAGGAACTTGCATTTCATTCTCTCTTAAAATTATTTTTTTTTACATCATGTAGCACTCATCAATCCAGCACTGAGAAGTCTAGTTAAAGTTCTTACTTTTGTACTGTACATGTATTTAATAGTATAGTTATTGTTGACTGTTACTACTGTAAACATAGCAAGGCTATTACAGGACTAGCTCAGTGTTCTTTTAATTTTAAAGAACTAAGCCACCTTGTTTAATACAAGATTTTTTTTTACCGTACCCTGAAAGGATTTCAAATCTTAGGGGTGTCCCCCCTCCCCCCGCTTTACTTTATGCAGTGGAACTTCCGTTAACATGAAATCTATTTAACATGAAGAAATTCTCTCGTCTGATGAAGTCTGTGTTATCAAGGTTTTACTGTATCTTCTAACAGTAACACACAGAAATATTTCAGTCCCCCCCCCCCCCCCCCCCCCCCCCCCCCCCCGAAGGACTGACGTAGAACAAACTGGACCAGACTAGCCGCTCAGTGGAGTTATTTCGAAGTACAATGTACGTTATGTAGTATGATGAGCCTTCCATTGGAGTGAGTACTGTACCTGACCATGAACAAGCATTTTCACTTGTGGACCTGCTTACTCTGGGAGAACTTTGCCTCACACAACCCACGTTTAAAACAATTTATTTAGCAAATCTAGCGACGTATTTGGATTACGTTACGGTTAGCATAGTGACTCAGTTTAGTTCATATAATTTTTACACCTCTTGTTACTACTGTACATGTAATTTTGTTTTTTGTTTTGCTCTCATAATAAAAACAATGTTCGTGTATGTCTTGCATGTGTAGTGTAAATATTACATTTTAAATGCTAGCTATTTATTTTTGTTAATGCATCATCGATTTCAATAAAGAAAATTGTTGCATATTGATAATTATTAATATGTATTCCTACACTCATGTGTGATGGTCTTTTAAGATTTACCGTACGTCGTGTTTTTCTATCATATCCATACGACGTGAGGAACTTTGTGCCACCACTTTCCAAAGTTAATCTGGTTAATCCGATCCGAGGGCCTACGCTTTGCATAGCAGTCTGTCAAAATGATTTTTTGAGAAATACTGAAAGTTTCAAAGAGATCTTCGCTCTAGAAGAATTCTAAAATGTGAAGAATACAACGCCAGGGGTACAAAATGACCCCAGAGCGTACGGATAGGGTTAAGCTGAAGGCTTACTTGATGCCTCTCTCATGCGCTCCCCATCTTCCTTGAGGTGACGGAATGAGCCACTGCTTTCCCTCAAATGATGTTCATGAATTATGTAAACTTGAAGTGTGTCTTAAGAACTGAGAAGGTAAAGACAGGTGCATCTCTCTCTCTCTCTCTCTCTCTCTCTCTCTCTCTCTCTCTCTCTCTCTCTCTCTCTCTCTTTCTCTCTCTATCTCTTTTTCTCATTCTCTCTCTCTCTCTTTCTCTCATTCTCTCTCTCTCTCTCTTTCTCTTATTCTCTCTCTCTCTCTCTTTCTCTCCTTCCATCTACATGTATCTCTCTTTCTCTCTCCGTCTGTCTCCCCCCCCCCTCTCTCTCTGTCTGTTTCTCTATCTCTCTGTCTGTCTGTCTCTCTCTGTCTGTCTGTCTGTCTGTCTGTCTGTCTGTCTCTCTCTCTCTCTCTCTCTTTCTCTCTCTCTCTCTCTCTCTCTCTCTCTCTCTCCCTCTCTCTCCCCCCCCCCTCTCTCTCTCTCTCTCTCTCTCTCTCTCTCTCTCTCTCTCGCTTTCAAAATTTCAACCAAATCTGAGGGAAACGCAAAACTGTGCAACTTCTGCAACTTCTTAGGATTCAACCATAATGTGTATTTGTGCATTGAAGAGCAAATTTATATAATATAAAATTGACTTTTCTAAATAAACTTGGGGAACTTTGTAATTCTAATCGAAGGAAGTTAGTTGGCATCTTTTGTTGTAGTCACTGCGAAATCCAATGCAGTTTTACTGTTTGATGTGGGAAAATGAAAAAGAAACGGACGTGGGACGGAAAGAAGGAGTGCACTTGGGTTCTTTCTTTGCGTTCTCCTGCTAGATCCCAGGCAGGGGAAGTCGACCGCTGATTCTTCAACAATCAGGGGAATTCAACATGCAGTGGTACTGAATTTTAGTAACGTACGTGACCGTTTTTTTTCTCCAATTTTGTCATTCGTATTCAGACAGCCACATTCCGATTTCCAAGGTACTCTATGTTTTTATACTAACTAGAGTGTTTTCAGATTTGATAAAAATACAATGTTGGTTGGAATTTAGCCAAAGGATTTCCGTTTTTTTACGATTGTTAGAATTTAATGACGCGAACTCACGTATGTTCATTGTTTCAATTTGGTTATATAATATGATTTGTGCTGACTTTTTTGGCTGATTTTATTAAGGTTGATGGGATCAATTTTTGGTAGTACCGTAGATACCTAATTGCAAATTCGAGAAATACAATTATTATTGTGGACTTCCTCGTGGTACTCACCAATCAAGCCCAGAATTTGGTGGTCATGTACTATCGTCTTTGAAAAAGTCCTTAGTTTATGAGTCTGGAACGATTATTGTTACGCGAAATACAGCGGGTTTTTACTGGAAGGACAAAAGCTATGTATACACGAAATAAATTTGCTTGTTTTAGTGTTGACCCTGTGGCTTAGCGCCCCCCCCCCCCCTACGCGTTGTGAGTACATTTGGGTCTATACCTTAAGTGGGCTGGCAGGTCACAACAAAAGCTTTAATTGCTTGCAGCATAAAAATTATTTATTTTTTGGGGGGTAAGTGTTTTACGGCGCTCGCAACTGCATAAGGTCATATGAGCGCGCTGGACACAACATTTTTAATATTCATTCGGTATAAAATTTTGAATTTCGCCCGTGTGGCTGCTGAAGCCTACTCTTATCGATTTTGGACCACCAAGGGATCTTTTACGTGCGCAACCTGCACACGGGACCACCGAGATTTTTCGCCATTTTCCAAGAAGGCTAGGTGTAGATCTTATACCTACCATAAGATCAGGGGTGTGGCTGAAAGACAGCAGTAAGAAGGAGCCAAGGAGTAGCAGTAGAAATTAGGCTGCAGAAAGAGTCAGGAGCCCAGAGGACGGGGCAAAGGAGGTGAGGGGGCGGGGGCAGAAAGTGGACACGAAAGGAAGACGACAGAAAATGGTTAGAGAGCAGGAAATAATGTGAAAAGAGAGGGTTTTAGAGACGGAATTTTTTCGTCGCTATCCGGATTCGAGAAGATAATGCCATTCTCAGCAAACATACCATT